TTAGCGTCTCTGGGGAGGGGTCTCCATTTAGCGGGCTTTCTCAGAGATGGAGTCTGGGTTGAGGCAACTCCCAGGGGAAGAGGCTTGGGATGGAACTTTCCACCAAACATTCCAGACTCTTTGGGTATATGAGTGTCAGGGGCTGGGGTGACACTTCCACCCAAACAAACTCTATTCCAAACAAACTCTATTCTAGCCTGTTACTCTGCTGTTCCCACGGATACCCCCAACTCAGGTGCAAAATAGCTGTGTCTGCTTCCAGAAAGTGGGGCAAATGGGAGAAACAGGGAGTCAAAGAGGACACTAGAGCTTCCATAAGAAGAAGGTTTTAGCATACTGCACAAGGCTTCTTCACACAGCCCACTGGCTGACCTTCAGTCATGCACCTAGACCTTGCTGCAAGGGCGTGTGTTGCAAGAGTAAGAACACGAACTGCTCTGCTGGACTCAGGGGATTCCCTCTGAGACCTGGACATTTGCTTCTGCTCGCTAACAAAAGGCCGTTGATGCTGTGCCAGGCCTTCACACTTGGGAATCAGATGAGAAACAGCCTGTTTCTGCCAGCCTCCAATCACAGAGCAGTAACTGGTCCGCAGTCACCTTAGCGACCAAGAGTTCTCCTGGTGTGTGCTCTGTTGCTGGGTGTCTAGAATGCTTCCTAAGGCCCGCTGACCCTCCCCCACCATGTGGGAATGCTTTCCAATAGGCGCAAAGGCCCCTTCAGGAAAGGATGCCCTTCTGTCTGGGACTAATAACCACTTCAAGTTCCCCTTTCTTCATGAAGCCCCTGAAGCATATTTGCTGTGGTTTTCTGTGTGGCTCTCTGCTTACCAGATTGTAGGCTAGTATTAGGCGAGCATGACTGACCTTACAAGGCAGGTACCTTATATTTGTTATCAAGCGTTATTATATTTCCAGAATTTTGACTGGCTAACATTATATAGTTTGTGCCAAGGTGGGAATACTTGTACCATAGTTTCCATACACACAGAGCGTCACTAACTCCTCCCTTACCATTCCTCTCAAACTTACAGTGTTAACAGCTTTTGAAGAAAAAAAAAACTCAACATGATATTTTGAAAACACTTTTTATGGCCAAACTTTGGAAAGGCACTCGAGTTGACAGGGGAAGCTGAGGAATCAGTTGGGGTGTCAGCATGTGGGCAACTAGTAAAGCTTCATAGAAAGAGAAAAATGGATCTTTCCAGAGGGCTCTAGAAGGGCAACTGGAATTTGCTAACATGTTTGGGGTTGACAGAAGTAGAGGCAGAAATAAGGGGGATGAGCTCACACATAGCCCACGATGAACAGCGACATTTAACATGAGAACAGCAGGTGTTGATTGCTACCTTTCTCTTGGTTTACCTCCTGTGTTCTTACACTGGGCACTGCCTACATTCTCTGGGCATGGAGCTCCTTCTTTAACTCAGCAGCACAGCTCTTACCGTGTCAATGTGGGAACTCTGTCTCTTGAAGATCACTTTTCAGTAGGCTCCTGAACCTTCCAATTCCATGCTAAGGTTGGTTCCAAAGCACTTCTGAGAGAATGGTCTGTGTGTACAAATACATTCCCAGAATGCTGCTTTTCTGTGGTCCCAGAGGACAGAAGAAAGGTGTCTAGCCACAAATTACCCCAACAATAGGACATTGTCGAAGAGACAGTTGTATTGACATGCAATCACTAGGCCTCTTTATGCTACCTGTAGTACATACTAATGATATGCCATAAACAAGCAGGCCAGGCACCGTATCAGAGACGCCCTCAACCTGTTAAAAATTGGAGACTTTTTATGCATTAAAAAAGGGAGAAAAGTCACCCTAAGATCCTTATCTTTTTATTCTTTATTCAAATACAGTTCTGATTGACATTTATTTTGCAAGCAAACTGTAAGGGTCACCTTGGCAGGTTCAGGTTGCTCAACTCCTTTCTATGTTTTGCAAAAAAAGACTCCTCTCTCCGGAACCAGCCTTGGAGCCCCTGGCCTTTACCAGTCTGATAAGAATGTTTCCTGTCCACAGCTTGGGGCCACATTGTATTCCTTTGAAGAGATAGCGTACATTGCCAACTAGCAGAAGCTGAATGCTTGCTTTCTGAAGACTGAGACCTTGGGCCAGTAAGCTCTCTGGAAGGTTTAAAGCTAAGGTCAGTTGGGATGACAGGAATGCCTACCGCAGACTTTCCAGGAAAAAGTCTGGGTGACGAGGGTTGAGCAGGGAGTCTTGGTGATATTTTGCATGTGCTGGCATACAGTACTTCTGGGAGAATTGTATATGCTTCATATGCCTCCCCTGGGAGCATGAGGCTTTGCCGGCCTCACCCCCATACCGTGCTGGGTATCAAACAGAGGGTCTTGTATACACAGGAAACAATTCTGAGTCTCATCTAGTTCCTTTGCTTATTTTGATTTATATCTTTTTACAAACTGTAATCTTGAGCTCTTCAGTTTTCCTGAGTTCTGTTAGTCCTTCTAGCAAATAATCAGACTTGAGGGGAGCCCATGGACTCCCAGCACAGTTAGGGTGCAATTCAGTTTAAGTTTTCTTTATAAGTTATTAACCATAGAAGGACCATTTATTTAATAGCCAACACGTTCACACTTGGTTATTTAAAATACCCCTCCCATTACCAATGCTACTGTTAATACTTTATTAATTGCTACTTAAAATTTAGTAGCTACTTATCTCTCTTTCCTCTTCTTGAGACAGGGTCTCAGTATATAAACCAGACTGGTCTTGAACTTGAGATCTTCTTGCCTCTGGCTCCTGAATGCTGGCATTAAAAGTGTGTGCCACCATGCCTGGCTCTATCTATCAATTTCTAAGGGGGTTTGACTATTATTGTACTTAACAATATAACTGACACCAGGGTGGGGGTAGTTTTATATAGCCATTCTTCCTGTTTGTGAATAAGATTATTTCATTGATTCGCTTGTACTTTTCATCTGTTCCCAAATCCTTGAACATTTTTCCTTCTGAGGTACCTCTCAGATCCCCATGATACACAAGATTATTTTATTCGATTTTCTAATTGGTTATAGCAGATTTATAGGAATAGTATTGATTTTACAGACAGAACTTTATTGAACTCTGAAAAAAAGTAGATTTATTTAAAAAGTAGGCAAGTGAGTTAAAAATAAACTTTCTCTTAAAATAACATCGGCAAACACGCTGACCATATGAAGTTTCATTTTTACTTGTTTCTACCTTTTACTCATTTCATCTGCTAAACTGACTAAAAACCAAATTGTTTTCAGAAGTGACTATTCTTAAAGTGAGGATTCAAATCATTTCTAAAACTTAGCAGCACCAAATTGTTTCTTCTTCTAACACAGTGGGAATGCAGTAATACTCTTTGTAGTTTAATTGTTCCTGTCCGGGTGACTAGTATGGCTTAGACCGTCTTGACGGCTCTTGGCCATTCAGATTTTCTTCCACGTGAAGTGCATTTAAAGTCCTTTGTGTCACTTTCTACCAGTTATTGTTCTTCCTGAGTCTCAATTAACAATAAAATTAATATTCCAGATTCTAGCCCCACATCCACACCAATACTACACACATGTGTCGCAAACATGCTTTCCCATGATTTGACCTTCTAAGTTTATGGGTCCTCACTTATTATCCCTTCTAAGTTTTGTTATGCTTTCTAACAATTCTTCAAGAACTTAAAAAATGTGTTGGATATGCAAGATAAAACAGATAATAAAGAATGTGGGAGAGGGCTGGAGAGATGGCTCAGTGGTTAAGAGCACTGCCTGCTCTTCCAAAGGTCCTGAGTTCAATTCCCAGCAACCACATGGTGGCTCACAACCACCAGAAATGAGATCTGGTGCCCTCTTATGGCCTGCAGGCATACATGAAGGCAGACCACTGTATACTTAATAAATAAATTAATTAATTTAAAAAAAAAAGAATGTGGGAGAAGTCCAGAGAGAAAACAAAGATGAAGCTATCAGAGAAGATCAGGCACATAGAGGAATCTGGGCATGGAGCAAGCAGACCTCAAGTCAACCACAGTGTTCCTCTACAGTGCTGCCCTTGGCTTTGCCCTTGGCTTCTGGCCCTGTTTTCCCCTGAAGAGGAACTATGATCTGGAAGTGAAGAGGACTCAGTCTATCAACAACCAGGCGGCAAACGGCCTATGGACGGGGATGGGACGGTCAGGGATAGTCGGGATGGTCAGGGATAGTCGGGATGGTCAGGGATAGTCGGGATGGTCAGGGATAGTCGGGATGGTCAGGGATGGTCGGGATGGTGAAACAGATTTGCGGTGTGACTCAAAGCTGGGACGACACACAAAGGAATGAGAGAGACGTGGAACTTGTGTTGGGTTGGAGAGACCAAGACAAAGCTTTCTGCTTAGGAGCCTTCTGGTGGGGAGGCAGTCATTCCTCTAGGAAGCCCTGGTTTCTCCTGCTGAGAGGGGAATATGCCACCCTGACTGAGGCACCTGCACCACGGCTCCTGCACCTAAGGCTCAGGGAACTGTGGAGGATGGGGTGGAAAGACTGTAAGAGCCAGAGGACCAGGAAGTCTGCCAACAATGTCTTCTATGTATGACGAGGAAGCTATACCAACAAAATCTCAACAACATAGTCATTTAAACAAGATCTACACAATGGCAATACTAGTTAAACATGCCAACATGGATGGGGAAATCTCACAAGGCTCCATCCTACATGAAGAGCTCCAAGTAATTAATGACAGCTGAAAGTGGGAGAGTCCATCTGCTCCAGGGCCAATCACGGGTACATTAATCAGCCCCATGTAGTCAGACCTAGACACACAGACATAGAGCTGTACTAAATGGACTCAGCGGGTTACATACAAGTAACAGTGCACACACACACCCCACACACCTCCTATATATAACAATAATAATTTATAAAGAGGTCATGAATTTGAGAGAGATTGAGGGGAACATGGGAGATGTTGAAAGAGAAAGAGTAAGAGAAGAAAATAATGTAAATAATTACACATGTAAGAGATTCTCAAAGGTTTTAAATTTTTACTTTAAATTATTAAATGTTATATATTATGGCATTCAATTAAATGGGGCATCTAAATGAAAATAATTTATTATTTAATGTGGAAAACAGTAAAAATAAATTTAGATGGGGGAAAACAATAAATATAGTAATATCTACTTTTCAATACATTAAATCAGTTTCACTGAACTTAATTTTATAAATAATTTACATAAGTAAATCACAATCAATAACCAAAACACCATTGCTTTGGGACTGTCCATGGTGTATAGGTAGGGGACTAGCACATCAGCAAACTTTCAGCCTATCTTTAACGAGGCCAGTAATTAAAAGTCAGGTTGTGACTGTGGCAAAGGCTTTGCAAAGCCCTAAGGATGTTAGCTATTCCTCAAATATTTCCCTGTCTACTCTAAATGAACTAAAATATTCAAAGACCAAAACCATAAGAAAAAAGATTCAGTTCTCTTTCTCCTTTTTTGTTTTCTGAGACAGGGTTTCTCTGTGTAGCTCCAGCTGTCCTAGAACTCTCTCTGTAGACCTGGCTGGCCTTGAACTCAGAGGTCCACCTGCCTCTTCCTTCTGAGAGCTGGGATTAAAGGCGTGTGCAAGATTCAGTTCTTAAAGCAGTAGCAAAAAGGGCTTTTTGATAAGAGCGTGTGGGTGGAGCCATGCTCCGGAACAACTCCTCAACTGCTGCAAATCTTTCTTCCTTCACAAATAGCAACAGAGACACGCGGACATCAGCTGAGGAAGGGCAGACCTTCACCAGGCGTTCATCTTCTGAGCTGCACATTTCTCTTAACGAGGAGGAAGAAAATCAAGTGACGTCACAACTCATCTTGTTTACTACCGACTTGTAGGGAGCCAAACGTAGTTACCAAGAAACGAAATACTGCCATTTAAAGTACTGAGTTAAAAAAACAAACAATTTTGAGTTATAAACTAAATATTTCTTTACATGAACCAAGTGCTTATTTATAAGTTAAAGAAATTGTAAGTAAGGGAAAACAATTAACAGTAGTTTGAACAAGTCCTTCAAACACAGATAATACTGTGCATTGCTTTCCTGCAGTTACCCATGCTATCTCTGTTAAACTAATGTTCTTCACAGACCTCATGGTTAAATCTAACTACAAATGCTCACAGAACACTTACAGACACAAGGGCAAGTCCAGCAGCATCCAGTGGCAACTCAGTGGCACTAAGATGCCTGTAGGCACTAAGATGCCCGTGCTGACCTGGTGGCTAGGCACTAAGATGCCCTTGCTGACGGGGCAGCGAGGCACTAAGATGCCCGTGCTGACCTGGTGGCTAGGTACTAAGATGCCCGTGCTGACACAGAGGCTAGGCTCTAAAATGCCCGTGCAGAAACAAGAGCACATGACTCAGAGTCCTAATAAGTATTTTATATTCATCATAAAATAGCATATCATCTTCTGACTGCCCCTTTTACTTTTGTTTTAAAGTTATCTCTAACAAGACTGATTTCCAACTTAATATATTCTGGGAATGAGATTCTTATGGTTATTAAAGAAAATATAAAGAAATAAGTTAATATATAGTCTACATTCTTTAAAAAGGCCATGTGGGGAGGTATTATTGTACTTGTCTTCCCTAAATAATAAATTTAAAATGAGAAGGAACAAATACATTGAATATAAAACTAAAATTTCAATAAAAATGTTCAAAGTTCATTTGAAAAATATATCAAGGGTATGTCTGGAACTTTGGGCTTTTGTTTTCCTCGATGTGGAGCTCTTTGTCTTCAGTCCTGGCCTGGAATGAGAAAGAATACACAATTTCTATGTAGAAGGAAATATGTGAAAATAATTTTGCAAAAACAGTTTTGTTTTATTTTTCGGTTTTTCAAGACAGGGTTTCTTTGTAGCTTTGGAGACTGTCCTGGAACTAGCTCTTTAGACCAGACTGGCCTCGAACTCACAGAGATCCACCTGCCTCTGTCTCTCGAGTGCTGGGATTAAAGGCATGCACCACCACCTCCCAGCCTGCAAAAACAGTTCTTAAAATGTTACTTGGTTAGTTATAAAAGCAAAGGTTAGCCCCTAAAATCTCAAGAGTAAAACTTGAGTTTGTGGCTCTCAGTCATACCTTTTTGTCCTTCCTGCAGCCTTCTGAAGTCTGTCTGCAGGGCAAAGAAAAACCAAGAAATTCCATCAGGAAAAAGACAAAACAATTGAAAAAGCTTCACAAACATGAAAGAGATAAAGCTGCCAGACTAAAGATAATATTATACATACTCCAAACTAACTTTTAAGACTATTGTATTACATTAAGTAAACTAGCGCTTCCATGTGCGTGTACACGTTTGGAGGTGAATGGGCGACTTTGGGAAGTCGGTTCTTTCCTCCCATCATGTGGTCCAGAGATCAAAATCAGATTGAAAGGCTTGTTATCCAGCAGCTACACCCTCAAGCCACATGGCCAGTCTCACAAGGTTAATCTTATAGTATCGTTTCCTTAAACTTTACTAGTTCTCCTGGCATTACCCTGCTACATCAGCACAACAGACAGACAAGTGCCAGGCTTCCTGGCTCTCTGAGCACAGCTGGTCTGTCACTGCGCACCAGTGATTGCTCCCCAGGGAATTTCTGTTTTGTTTAGATCACTCGGATCCTTTCACTTTTAACTTCATTCTATATTAAATCAAAACTAAACTTGAGTTTCCCCTCAATTCAAAAGCTCAGTCTGAGTTATTTCTAGCCATGGTAAGGCAGAACTATTATTTTCCTCAAGGAGAGCCAACACAAGCCACGCTTTTAATAGTCTCTATTTCAAATTTAACACTTTCAGTAAGTTTAGGAAGACGTATCCCTAGAAAATCACATTCCTCTTATTTTTTAATTTAAAGTGTATTGGTGTTTTGCCTACATGTATGTCTGTGTACTGTATATGTGCCTGTTGAGACCAAAAGATGGCACTGAATCCCCTGGAACTGGAGTTACAGATGGCTGTGAGCCACCATGTGGGTTCTGGGGACCAACCCCGGGTCCTATGCAAGACTAGCAAGGGCTGCTGGTCGGTCTCCAACCCGTGCTGCATTCTTCTTCATGACTATATGCTTACCAGTTCTTCTGGAGCTCCCTTTGGGTTGGTTAGCTGAATTAACTTCATTGTTTCTCAATTCTTGGATAATGCCTTTATTTAAGCAAATATCCACGTGCACATTGAAGAGGGTAAGATCAGAAGTCTTCTGTTCTAGGTTACAAACAGGACAAACTAGAGCTCGTCCTGTTACCACCTCATCTGGACAGGGCTGGATGGACTCTTGCCTACTTAATATTCTGACAGTTTCATTCGCCAATGAAACAGGACAAGACTGGTTTGGAATATCAAAACATTCCTCTTTGCTGTGATTATTCCCTAAAGTGTCCATACTTGCTGCTTTCAATGAGTTGTCTTCAGTTTCTACCAGATCTACATCATCCGCTGAAGTGATCTCGGCATCGTCATAATCCCGCTTCTCACACAGTGGAAGAGAATGATGTGCATCTTCCTTCTGACCAATAGCTGCCGAGGAAGCACGGGAATCAGAGTTCTCACTGGTCGATGGTTCATCCAGACATGCATCTACATGTTCGTTAAAGGCTTCCAGACTGATACATTCTTGCTCCCTAAAGCAAACTGGACACATAAATGTCTGACAGTTATTGGAATTCTTTGATGTTTCCAAACTCTCGCTCGTTTTCTTTAATGCCTGGAATGGTTGTGAGGTCTGTACAGCTTGCTGATCCACAATTTCACAACTGGGTGCGTCTTGATGGCTCAAGATCCTTTCTGATCGTTTTTTATCAAAGAAACTCTTCTTATGAGACATTTCCAAAGGCTTTACAAAGTCAGTTTTGTCGGTTTTGTCTACAACACACCCAGGAGATGGCAAAGCCTGGTGTCCAGCTTGTAAGAAGCCAATGATGCTCCTTTGTTGGTGCTTCTTGTCATCTTCATTGGAAAAAGTCGACATCCGCACACCTAAATGAAACCCAAACCGTCACTTTATGTTATGTGTATAAACGTAGCCACACCCATACAAAGGGAACATTTGTATTATTATGACACATATGCAAAAGGTAACTAGAGAAGTAAGTGCCTCTGGAGATGTACACACTCATATACATACATACTCTTTTTTTTAAATGCTAAGGTTTGGACCCATATATAAATCTTTGGCATGTTATACATATAATTTACCACTTAGCCACATTCTCAGACCAACATTTTCCAAATTAAAGGATACTTTTTTGAAGCTTACATTATGAAAAACTTACTTTGCTTTATAAAACTGGGTATCAGTAAACGTTAATATATTGGAGTTGGTGTGATTATATAGAACTTGCAGTAATGTTTCACATGGGTGCCATTAAGCAGGCAGTAGCTAATTGGAGTCAGCTACAGAGACTTCAGCTCTGATTTCTTTTTTCAGTGGACTTCACTTTCTAAGGAGTGCTTCATTTTCATGACTATTGAACAGAGAATTCCCATATGCCCTCTGCTGTCATTCACACACAAATTCCAGTACTATACACGTGCACTGATGCGGCACTATCACCCAGTCTACGGTTTCCCCCAGCATCCACTCTTAGCAGTGTCCATGCTATCAGTTAAGATGCAGCTATAAAGACGTGAATTCACCATTAGATTCAGACTTGTTTCACTAGCCTCAAGGCCTCTGCTTTCTCTCTTCATCTGTCTCACTGGGCAATATTGTCTTTTCACTGTCTCCAAGGTTTTGCCTTTCTCAAGATGCCAAATAGCTGGAATCATACAATATTTGCTTCTTTCACTTAGCAATATTTACTTAAGTCTGCTCCTTGTCCTTTTGTAGCTTATTTATATACTGAACATCTCCCATTGTCTGGACAACCTTGCTTGCTTCTAGGTTTTGCAATTATGAATAAAGTTTCTGTACATACTTGCTCTTTGGCTGTTTTTATTTTATTTATTTATGATTATTATTACTATTTATTATTTTTGGTTTTTCGAGACAGGGTTTTTTGTCACATTGGCTGTCCTGGAACTCATTCTGTAGACCAGGCTGGCCTCAAACTCACAGAGATCCGCCTGTCTCTGCCTCCCGAGTGCTGGGATTAAAGGCGTGCACCACCACTGCCCAGCTATTTGGTTCTTTTCAATATACGTCCTTCAGTGGTTTCACTGTGCATGGTTTCCAAGTGTGAAAGCAAGATTAATGTTCTCTCTTAGCAACCTCACAGTCACGTGGAAGCACAGCTTTCTAGTTTGTGTCCCACAGGTAACAACGGGCAGTGTCACAAGCTGGGACTGTAATTCTGAAATCCGAAATTTCTGCAATTGTAGCTAAAGTCTCTTAGTTGACTAAACTGACATGATGTCATCTAGTACCCTCACAATCCAAAGAACAAGTTGTCTTCGTTGTTTCGTGACAGAAATAGCCACGTGTTTCTTCATGTCATGCACTAAAGCCCCAACAGAGCATTACAGAGGATAATTTAAATGCCCTGCATTTGTTTCCCAAGTCTGTTAAGTTTGGCATTTGGAAACACCTTGCCTCAAGGACTTCAGAAAAAAGGATGAGAACAATTCCCATAGGTCCAGACAGAATTAAAATCACATTCTGACCATGCATCTGGCTCTAGGAATTACAATGTACAACAGCAGAGTGGGAAGTTCTTAAACAGAGGGAAAAAGAGCTCCCAAGTTGACTTTATTTTTTAGGGAGGGGCCATTAAACATATAAGGGAAAACAAGAAAGGGGAGGGGGGGAGAGAGGCCTACCCATCAATCTTAACCTCAGGGGATGTGGAGAAGCCGCGCTAATTTCTGTCCTTAGCAGTTCCTTAGCAACGGCAAATATTTCTTCTGCAGTAGAAAGGGTGGACTGAACTGTAGACGCGCGAGTTTTTACTTCAAAATTCACGTTCTTCAGCTTAACGGTAACAGTTCTCCCCTATAAGACAAGCAGTACGTTACCACGGCAGGCTTCAGAGCTGAGGATCAGCTGACTGCAGGTTAGAAATGTTTGGGAAGGCTGTCTGTACGTAGGAATATGCACTGTAATCAGCTGCTATAAAACATGGTCCTGTAAACTCTCACAGTTAAGATCTGTGTCTGAAAAATATCACTTAGTGAATAATCAGTAGTTCTAATTCACTAAGTGAATATCACTTAGTGAATAATCAGTAGTTCCTTCCTCAGCCAGTTAAGAAATACTTTTATATGAAGAGCAAAGTGAACTGCCACCTTTCCATCTACTGTCCAGCTCCCTAAGGTTAATTTAGCACTGAAGGCCAGGGAATGAATGGTCAGCCTTTACTGCAAGACTGTCACAAGCCAGAGTGCTGCGCTAGAAGTTTCTAGGAATCATCTTTACAGCTGGTGTCTTAGGGACATGAGGCTCCAGTTGGGGAGGACTGATGACAGTTTAGTATTTCCTGGGGTTAAAGCAATGGGCAGCTGTTCCACTTGAGGCCAGTTCAGCTTTCTGACTCACTTCCTGACTCACTTCAGAACCACTAACTTCAGGCTGGAGAAGCCTCTCACACACTCCCTTAACCAGGTGATGACGGCGGCAGGAAATGATGGGAAGGCCACCTCACCTTTGTGGTATTCTTTCCACACTACAGCCTACACCACAGGACAAGCAACAGAGTGGCATTCTGTAGGCTATAAGGTTCTCAAGACTGGGTTCTATAAAGAAGCGGGAAGGGCAACAAACTCAGACCAAACTAGGGTGACAGGACACTAGCCACCCGCGGTTCTCTGGAGAGAATTCATAGAAAGACAAGAGCGATCCAGACTCAGTTGGAACTTGGTTAACAGCAGTACTAATGTCACTTTTCTACTGTGACAAAAATCTATCAAATGTTAACAATTGAGGAAAACGGGTGAGAGCTATAGTGGAGATCATTGTTATTAGAAACAGTCCTGGAAGTCTGAAATGACTGTAAAAATAAGAGTGTATCTCAAAAACTTCTCCAAAAATACTATTTTACACTCAAGTAGAGAAGAGCTAGAAGTAAAAACTCTCCTCAGATACTTGAATTTTTGCTATAACTTTTTAATACTTTTGTATTACACTTTCTAATAACTAGCCCCGGTTTGAGAGGACTGAGAAAACACTAAATGTGGACTGTTCTGAAGGAAGACAGTTCAGGGCACTCCAGGCTTCGATCTCAATGTGTTAACCAGGACCAGAGCCCTGAAACACAATGCCTGCTCTAGAAGGTCACTGTCCCTGTGAGCAAAGCCTCCAAGGATGACTGGAAGTCTGACCTGGCACCTAACTCAGACAGGGCGCTAAGGGCACAGAGCTGGTCTTATCACCCTGGAACCACTCCAGGGTCACAAGGTGTCCTTCACAGAGTGACCTCATCACAGACCTCACACACAGGTCAGACTCAACTTTGTTTCTGATTGTTGGGAATAGGAATATTCTATTTTATTTGTAACCCACTTTAACAAATGCGTGGTCTCTTGACTTAGAGTACTATAATGAGAAAAGCTAAAAATTGAGATCATCCCATAAAAACTCAGCACCTTCAGTCCTTCCTTCTGGAGATCACGAGCAAGTTCAGTGCACAGTTCTTGGCATAAGCTGTACTGTTCTTCTGTTTTAAAGATCTCACTGAACGTCCTAGAGAGACAAGAAGGATTTGGGTGCACAGTGTAAACTACAGAGGGATAATTTGATAACAATAGAGTACATTCAAATAACCTAACATTTTTCTCAGTACAAATTAAAGTTTTCACATCAACTAACACATAATTAAGTAAAAATATCTACATTCTATATAAGTGATCAAAAATATTTAGATAGGTACACTGATCGACAAAAATCCACAATTTTATGCTTTCTCTTTTCTTAAGACAAGATCTTACTTTGCAGCCCTGGTCGGGCTAGAACTTGCTATATAGACCAGGCTGCCCTTGAATTCACAGGGATCGGTCTTGTCTCCTCCTCTCTAAAACTAGGATTAAAGGTATATATATGCCACCATGCTCAGTTTTCACTCATTTTTTTTAACTGGCATATTGGTACTTTCTTATTACAAATTCTTTATATAGCAAAGAAACTAACACTTTATATGTGATTGTGAACCAGGGTTTTCCTCCCCTAGTTCCGAACCAAATTTGATACCCTAGTGCATCTTTGAAAATCAAAAAGAAGAGAAACAGTCAGTGATACTTAAATGTCTCCATAGTTCTGATGTTTTGAAGAAATAATTGAGGGACTTTTAAAATGGACACATTTCCCTATAAACAAAGTGCCATTAGGATTTCATGTGGCTCCAAACAAGATGCTAGGCCACAAAACTAGACACTCTCTAACTTCTCCTTTACCAATATTACGTCAGGCTCGACTCTTTATCTGAAACATTTAAAAAGGGAGATTTATATTTGGGTTGCTTTTTAAGACAAGTTAACATGCAACATCTGTCTGTACACAGTGAGATATCCTCAGATAGGAGTCAAGTTTTAAAACAAATTCATTTGTTTCGTATACACCTTATACACAGTGCTTGAAGGTACTTGTACACAGTGTTCTAATAATCTCTGTTTTGATGGAAAACCATCACATAAAACGAGGGGCAAAGTTTTCCATGTGCGACAGCATCTCAGCACTCGGAAAATCTTGGTTTTGAAGCATGTCAGATTTCCGAAATTCATATCACAGATGCTCAACGTGTAACTTGAAACCTCTGTTCACTTGGCCAATACCTGAAGTTCTTAGAACTTCCACTATAATGTTTTATCACTCTCAGATAAACATTTAATTGTTCTTATAAAGAAGATTAGAAATCCTAAAATGCCTAGTTTTCTCTGAACAGGAGTAACATCTGTATTAAAAGTATAAATGTCAACTATGCTGTTCTACTGTGAGCACAGCAACCAAAGATAATGTGTTGAGCATAGGCGTTTACTTTGGGGTATAAGCTGCCCAAACTGTGAAACATTTTTTTACTGTAGTGATATTTTACTAAAAATGAACTTGAAACAGTTTAATATACACTGAATAATGGATCATTAACTTTATTTTTATTTAACATAAAAAAATTACCTTTCAACGCTCATGCTTTTTCTTTCTCCATCTCTGAAATGAGAAAAAAAAGTATTTATTTCTCAAAGAAAATTGAGTTCTAGCTCAGTTGGTAGAGCATGAGACCCTTAATCTCAGAGTTGTGGGTCTGAGCCCCACATTGGGCACCATTATGTAAATGGAGACTGTGCTTTCATTTCCCAGCCACTCAGACCCAAATAATCACACAAAACTATATTGATCACAACACTGTTTGGCCAACAACTCAGGCATATCAATAGATAACTCTTATATCTTAAATCAATACATTTCTATTAATATTTGTATCACTGTGGCTAAGGTTCTGGCTTCTGTGTCCTTTGGCAGGTAGATGGCATCTCCTTGACTCCGCCGACTCTCTCTATATCTCTGTACATATTTCCCACCTGACTTTACTCTGCTAAACCATTGGCCAAAACAGCTTCATTCATTAAACAATAATAGCAACACTTACACAGAAGGTCACCCACATCACTTTTGGTCAATAAGAGAATTTAATATATTCCTTTTGATCGATTGATTAATTAATTAATTAATTTTATGTGTATGAGTGTTTTGCTGTTATGTCTGTCTGTGCACCATGTATGTTCAGTGCTCACAGAAGTCAGAAGAGAGCTGGGCGGTGGTGGCGCATGCCTTTAATCCCAGCACTCGGGAGGCAGAGGCAGGTGGGTCTTGGAGTTCGAAGCCAACCTGGTCTACAGAGCGAGTTCCAGGACAGGCTCCAGAGAAACCCTGTCTCCAAAAAAAAAAAAAAAAAAAAAAGAGAATGCCTCTGAAAATGGAGCCACCACATGGGTGCTCGGAATCAAAACTGGGTCCTCTGGTGCTTTTAATTGATGACCCACTTCTACAGGCCCCTAACATTCTCTTTAAATACTTCATTCAAAATTCTTTATCTTACAAAAACCATGGATGCTTTTTTTTAAATCTAAAAGTGACACTGTCTCTAAGACATAAATAGATAAGATACTTTGATTTCATGTGTTATGGATCACTTATATATCTATGGTAGAAAAATATTTGGAAATAGTATCTAACCTGCTTCTATTAAAAGTCTGAATATTAAACGTATGAAAATCAACAGGAAGCAGCAACGTAAGTTCCCGACCACAAGCTCCATCTACATCTCAGAAATTCAATGCTGTTTCGTTTGGGGGCTTCTACACCAACTCCTCCCCTACATATTGTTCGTTATTTCATCTCAGTCAGAATGTGGTATAGGATGATGACTGAGGACCTAAACCACCTACTTTGACTGGACTCTAGCTACTCTAATAGGGACAACTGAATTAAAGAAATTGAGGTAACACTTGTTTTATTCATTTTCCAAACATTTAATGGATGTAATATGCCTAAGAGTTGCTCGAGAATGTAAGTACAGACCTTGTCTCACATGACCAAGGCCTTGGGTTTGAGTCCCAATACTGAAAAGCAAAACAAAACCAGAGCGAAAGAAGGTAGGCCCGACAACACAATCCTATAGCAACAATTCCAGCTGTTAGGGATCCTGAGGCGAGAGGCCTTTAAGTTCAAGGCCAGCCTCGGCTATTAGGTAAGTTCAAAGTCACCTGGTTAACTTAGGTGAGACCCTATTTCAAAATAGGAGAGAGAGGATGTTGTTCAGTGGTAGAGCACATACCTAATATATGTGAGGTTCAATCACAAGAACCAAGCCCCCCAAACTCAACAAACAAACAAAAAACAACTAAACAAATAACAACAACAAAGGGCGGAATGCTCAGAAGGGAGAAGTACTACAAACTGAAGCTGCACAGGGCACTAGAGAACACAGGCTGAGGGGAGGAAGGCCGGCTACAGTACATCACAAGTGAGTTGTCGATCTTTCACCTAAAACTGGCCTCTCTATACTACAGACTAATACCTGCTGCATTATATCAAACTGAAAATATGACAATATTTGCATTAATAAGCAATCTAGATCACTTACAACTTACAATTGTGATTTCACTTCCATTATGTACATGCAAGATCAGTCTTCAAACTGCAGCCTCAAGGAACAAAGAATGAGTAGAGAAGAATTCCTCCAGCTTTGTATGCCCCGCCCTCTCTCCGACAGATGGGTCTCACTATGTTTTTCGCCTCGGCTAGCCTCTAACTCATCATCAGACTTTGCTGTTTTTTCTGTAATGAATTTTATCCACATCCTCTTGATTTTATTGCTGTCCTTTAATTTAAGCACAGAATCTAAAGAGAGCCAGGCACGATGGTGCTGTATGCCTGTCTCACTGCACTCCCCCCCACAACCCACCCTACAGTCTTTTGAAGGTTTGCTATCGGGACAGATCATGATAAAAACACTGCCTAGGGTTGACTTTGAGGATTTTCATGCTTCTCTCTATCCATCCACAACAGTTCAAAACCCAGACGAAAAGTTGGCAGAAGAAAACACAGAACTTTTGTTTAGGTGTCCCAGCTTTTCCCAGGGCTTTGCGAGGTCAGCGCCTTCCAGCCCTCACCTCGGGCGACTGTCAACCCAGCAGAGATCTCTGACGTCACCCTTTAGCCCTCACCTCGGGACGACTGTCAACCCAGCAGAGATCTCTGACGTCACCCTTTAGCCCTCACCTCGGGACGACTGTCAACCCAGCAGAGATCTCTGACGTCACCCTTTAGCCCTCACCTCGGGACGACTGTCAACCCAGCAGAGATCTCTGACGTCACTCTTTAGCCCTCACTCCACCTCACTCTCTGCATTGTTTCTTTGGGATTTTCTATTTCTCATACTAGGGTGTAAACTTCATGAAGGCAGAACTTTGTCCAACCCACGAGTAATGTCTCTAGCACTTACAAGTGTCCAATGGAAGATAAATACACAGTATCCATTCACACATCAGAATCTGGCTAAAGAATAAACTGGGGAACATAAGCTACTTTTCTTTCCTCAACAACCTGACCACCAACCTTCCTTTTACAATCTGAAAACAGAACAAGACAGGCAGGGGATGGAAGTAACCACCATTCCTTTCTCCCATATTCCTCACCACTGAAGCCAACACCCAGAAGTGAGTCATTATCTCCCCTTTTCCATAGTCAAACTGACAACTTTAACCAAGATAGAACCTAAGTTAAATCAGTCAAGATGAATTTAAAAACATTTAAAAGGTTCAAACTGACACCGATAAATGATAATGAGAATGATAAAAAGCCGAATTACTCTATAGATACCTTGCCAGGTCTGTTGACCCTAGACCCAGGGCGATGTGAAGGAAATAATGCCAGGATGTCTCGGAGAAAAGGAGAGAAAGCAATGCTCTCTGCTGGTAGAGTTCCGTGCAAGTAACAATTCCCAGGGCCATTAACATTTTCTCTGTCACTTTTCCTATTCCAGAAACCTACAAGAGAATCCACACTTAGATGAAATTGGGTGTGTTCAGAATGGTATAGTCACAGATGAACCAACATTTATAATTTAGGATTTTAAAATGAGATCATAAGTGTGTGCGTGTTTGCAGGAGAATGTTGGTGTTGAAGCTTGAATGCAGAGCCTTGAACATGCTAAATAAACTGTCTGCCACGAGTAACAGTTGAAGATTATAATCTTCCGTAGCTAACAAAAGGTATGAATAATATTATTTTTACATGTCATGCAAGAAGACATGTTTTGGTCACACAGCTTAATTCAATAGAGTTTTTAAAGGCACCTAAAAAAGAATTCTGTGAGCATACAAATTTTGGAAATGGTAGAGCGAACAAACAAAAACTTTTTAGTACAATATTTGTGATTCTTTAATATACTAATATCTGCACTCCGATGGGATTTAGAATTTTGTTTTTGACAAATTAAACCAAAGTACTTTACCATCTTTAAAATAATAAACTTTCCCATAAGGTTCCAGAGATGACATATTTTATTATTTATAGTGTACTCTATATCTCATGTTTTTTTATAACTAAGGATTTTTAAATTATTTTAATTATTTTATAATTAAGAACTTTTAAATGAGATTTTAAAATCTCACCAATATTTGAATTTACCCACTATTTGCACCTAGAACTTAAAAAAAATAGAACACTTATTCAAACCTTAGAAAAAACTACTGTGTGTATATAGTACCTAGGAATCATCAACACTGTGGCCTTTGCTATAGCCTTTTCCTTGAACATTGAGCAATACGTTACACAAACTCAATCATGGCTATTATCTTGAGCAGGCTCTAGACTGTCATATAGTATAGGGAAACAATTGTTCAAAAAGATAAAGAGGACATACAGCACAAAAATCCAGAAGCTATAAATAATAAAATATGTCATTTCTGCATCCTTGTGGGAAAATTCTATCACCTTAAGATGGTGAAGTACTTTGGTTTAATTTTCTCAGAAACAAAATCTCTATCCCTTTGAGGTGCACACCTATTTGTCTACTAGCTGCCTGACTGGAGAGCCATGGGAGCACTAAGCTGAAGCTGAAAGCCCTCCTCCCCGTGCTCCTCTTGCGTCCTCTGCCCTTTGCAGGTATGGACTTACAAGTCCACCATCTCTTATTTACTTTAAGCTCTCCTGCAGCTGATTTCCTTAAACATGACTTCCAAGGTTCTAGGTACAGCAAAGTTCTCACCTGCCATCTATTATTTTATGACTATCCAGCAAAGAATATTTATTATGTGTCTGGCGCCTCTCTCAAATTCAGAGTATGTACACAAATGACGATTTCATATAAAATCCCACCTTCCTAATAGGCAGATCCTTGATGAAGTCCATCACTGCTTTTCTGCTGGGGAGAATTTGGTATTGTCCATTTGGCTTATTCTTATCACTGCACACTTTTGCTAGCATTGTGTTGGGGGCAATACCTTCAAAAGAAGAGGAATCAATCATTCAAAGAAGTTGCTATGTATAAATTAACTATGTGGGGCTGGAAAGATGGCTCAGTGGTTGAGAGCATTGCCTGCTCTTCCAAAGGTCCTGAGTTCAATTCCTGGCAACCACATGGTGGCTCACAACCATCTGTAATGAGGTCTGGTGCCCTCTTCTGGCCTGCAGACATACAGACAGAATATTGTATACATAATAAATAAATATTTAAAAAAAAAAATTAACTATGTGATAAGAAAATGAAACTTAAATGCAAATAATCTGAAATGACATTTGGCTACTGGCAATGTCCCCAGGGCTTTCTGTGCCTTTGGGGAAAGGGAATGATAGCTGTGGCAAGGAAATGAGGACTGTTTGAGCCTCCACATTTTCACACCCAAACGTAATTTCTGAACTGAGTAACACCAAGTGTCAGCGCCTTGCTTACAACTGCACTAGGAGTAAGGGTTGTTTCTCAGAAAAGATCCAGAATATAGCTATGATGGATGCTTACTTTCCGAGAAGTTTTTCTGAATGTAAACTTTCACATTAAAAATAAATTTTCAGACTTACAATACATTAAAAGCAACAACAATAAAAACTTAATCTTTATTGTTACTCACAAAGAAACCACCACACACTATGATTTACAATTTCTAGGAGTCTTAAGACAACTTATAGTAGGTAACATATAAATGCATTTGTTAATAGTTCATTTTGGTCTTTATAGATATTTTCTTAAAGCTGATTGTGCATGCTTACCGTTTGGAATAGAATACATTACCCTAATCCCAACACACATGACTTTACAAGATAATATTTTTTATAATGTGACAATTTATCACAGACATTGTGAGAAGTGATTGTAACCATTATTAGTTCCCTGTGCTAAGGCCCTGTGATGCTCTTAGGGGTTGATAATATATGTAAAGCAGGGGGACTTTGTTGGCTTTGGTTTTTTACCAGATGTTCTTAAGTTGCTACATTGCAAATTGATCTTTTTCTTGGTGGGATTTTGGGGGAGTTCACCAACTTTCATGTATCTAGGATCTTTCCTACAACATAATCTAGTATAAGTGCCAATCAAAAATTCTGTACAAATCCAACTAAAATATATTTTACACTTAAGGATTACTATTCTAGATTTATGATATTTTCTGCCTTGGGTCATAGACTTTTTGCTTAATAACAGCTCACCTGTAGGTTTAGCCAGCCTCAGTAGATAGAAGTAGCTAGCAGCCAAATCAAATGTTACCATCTACTTTCCAACAAGGAATATCCCCTTAAATACCTGCGCTGGCTGTCAGTGTTGTTTTTTGTTCAATTCTGAAGCGAATTTCCTTTACCACTTCCTCAGCTGATGTTCCAAAAACAACTGAATTTTGGAGTATTTGAAGATTGCTTTGTTCTTCAGAGTTTAGCTGGGAAGGATTTCCTTCGGGTTGCAAATCAGGACTGTCTTCAAACAGCAGCGGGGAGATGGACCCTTCATCCTCATTCAGTTTGTCAGCTTCCTCACCTGGTTCACCCAAGTCTAAAAACAACAGCAACAAGTCACCTTCATTTTAAGGAGTACACATTTTTAGGCTCGGTCTCACTTCATTCTTTCTTTTTCTTTTTCAATGTCTTCCCCATCCCAATTCCCTCTATTATTTTTCTCTTTCTTCCCCCTGCCCTTCCTCTCTCTGTGTGTGCACATTCATGTGTCTCCTAGAGACAGTTTAGGAACCCTCACTGGCCTCACTTAACCACAGAGCCCACGCTAGCCTTGAGCTATGACCGAGGGTGCCCAAGTCTTCTAAGAGTGGGATTACAGGCATCAGTGCCCACCTCTTTTCCTACACTGCTGAAAACAAACCAAATTCAGTTTTGTTTCCAGAAACCGAGACAAAAAAGGCTATCAAAAATCATCGTATCTATATAGTAAAGAATGCGGTCAGGCTTTCCTTAAAAGACCATTATCCATTTCTTTAGTGCACATTGTAAAGAAAATAGTTTAACTTTGGGAGTCCATTACTTTTTAAGAAAATAAGTTTTTTCACAGTATTCTTTTCTAAGGGAAAAAAGATCCTTTTTAAGCTAAAACTAGGAACGAGGAGGAAAAAGCGTTAAACAATAAGAGTAATCGCAACCAAAATTAAATTTTGTTTTGGAGGAGGAAAAACTTAATTTTTCTTTATTCATGGAAGAAACCTTAAAAATGTTAAAATCCTCTCAAATGTCTCTTTTCAAATGCTAACTCACCCATCCCCCTCACAGGGTTTCTCTGTGTAACAGTGCTGGCCGTCCCAGAACTCACTCTGTACACCAGGCTGGCCTCGAACTCACAGTCTGCCTCTGCCTCCCAAGGGCTGGGATTAAAGGCATGCACCAGCAGCACGCTTTTAAGTTGCTTATTAATAAAACATTTCTTTCACTGAGGGTGCTTTTACTATAAATGGAAAGTACTTCTGAAAGTTGAACTTCTTTATATAAATTCTTAGAGTCTGATCCAATATTTGAGGGTCCTGATTTAAAGTAAAAAGGTGTAATGATCAGAAGATTTCCTGAGTAAATTGGGAGCATGGGGACCTTGGGGGAGGATTGAAAGGGGGAGGAGAGAGGCAGGGAGGAGAGCAGAGAAAAATGTAGAGCTCAACAAATATCATGGAAAAATTTATTTTAAAAAAGTGTAATTAACAATACATTGGAAAATGTTATCATTAAAAAGTAAAGTTATTATTGTTATTATTAAAAAGTAGTTGGGCATAGTGATACATGCCTGTAATCCTGGTACCCAGAAACTTGGGAGAATAAGGCAGGAGGATGGCAAGTTTGTGCTTATCCTGGGATGCAGAGTGAGATCCCATCTCAAACAAAGAAACACATTATTTTTTAAAAATGTAAGATAACCAATTAGTTATTAGCTTATGCCCATTTTTCAAATATAGTATAAAATACTTTACCCTGATACCAATACTAAAGATATTCACATGAACTATTCCATTAGAAACTATTCTTTAAGCTTACAATAGGATAAAAATATTTAAATGTATTTATAAGATCAATAACAGAGTTTTCTGATCCCATTTCATAGCGTGTATTTCCCAAATTAAGGTAAATGCAGAAGCAACAATTAAATTCTTGATTTTATTTTAGCCCAGGGTAGACTTAAATTAACTACATATCTTGCCCAGACTGGTCTTGAACTTCTACTTCTATTGCCTCAGCCTTCAAAATGTTGAGATTATGAGTATGAAAACATTCTGGGCTTAATTAAATTAAATTCCAAGACATCTGAATGCACTTTACTTAAAAAATGAACTTGGTCTTTAGAAAATGTCTAAAGATATATAAATAGTATAACAGATACCTGATTAATTTCAAACTTTAATTACAGCCTATGAATTAATTTATAGAAAGAAGTTTCCCAAATCTGAATTCACAAGCCACATTCATAACACAACCTATTTTTATTACATCTGTGCTTCAGGTCATTTCCATTTTTATATTCTGATTTTTAAACCTTAGAGCAACTTGGAGGGGAGCAGAAATACAGAACAGCTGTATGAAGGTCGCACAGAAGCCCTTTCCTCCAATCGGCTGACTAGAAGTCACTCATTGTAAAGAGCTACAGACAAATGACAGGCCAGGTATGGCCACCCAGGTGCCAGGCCGTCTCTGCAGCGGCTCCAGGAAGCAAAGTGTGCCGCCTCTGGAGCATCAGAGCCGCTGCAGAGCAACACAGGCATCTTCTCAACCCCAGCTGTGCTTTGCTTCCATGTGGCCTGGCTGTGTAACATACTGCAGAAGTGGTTTCCTCTCCTGACCGGAAGCCCTTCACTCTTCCAGGACTGAAGCAATGAGAGCACAAAGCTAGATGAGAGCACACATCTGCATTTCAGTCACTCAAGCACACAGCTTGATGTTGATATTCTAAGCTTCCTTGTCCAGAAATTATTACTCTCTTTAATATATATATGTTTCCATCAAAGAAAAAGAGAGACCTACCTCCTAGGTAATGAGGTAATGAAGCTTCGACTTGATGTCTACATTGACCTTGCTGCAAACAAGGTGATCCCCTAACAGTGTAAGGCTTAGAATTTGATGCTGCCAGTACATGGTGGCATACGCCTTTAATGCTAGCACTGGGGAGGCAGAGGCAGGAGGATCTCCGTGAGTTCCAGGCCTGTTTGGTCTACAGAGTGAAGTCGAGGACAGGCAGCACTCAGTTAAGGGGTATGTAGAAAAAGCCATCTCTAAAGAATAACAATAATAGCAACAACAACAAAACCCCCAAAACCAAAAAAGAAAAAAAAAACCCAACAACAAGAGAGGCAGAGATGGGGGGTTGGGGAGGGAGAAGAAGAAGAGAAAAAAATGGATGCCATTGTACAACTACCATTTTTGTTCAAGGAGTGTTACTACCATGTTTCCCACACTGCCGACCCCTTTGATGCTGTGAATGGGTTATACACATGAAATGGGGCTGGGATGTGTGGATGAGAATCCCTTTAGGTCACCTTCTCAGCTGGGTGAACTTTGTTCATGGAGTCAAGATACGGCAGACATTTGAAGTAAAAGATCTGTTGGCAAAGGGACTGGAAGCAGAAGGAATGTGTTAACATCAGAATGCTTTGGATAAATGATAAAAGTATAGCTTGGAAAACATATGGAGTCCTGAAATTTTCAATTGTACAAAAGAGTCATGGAGGGCCTAGGGCGATACCTTCGTGGATCAAGCGCTTGCTAACCAAGCTTGAAGACCTGTGTTGGGCTCTGCAGTACCTGCATAAAAACCTGGTGGGGAAGGGGGCACCCAGGGGTCAGGGGTGATGGGACACAATGACAACAAAACCCCAGAGCTTACCAGAAAATCAGTTAGCTCTAGATTCAGAAAGAGACCTTGACTCAGAAAATAAAAATAAATAAATAAGGTCTCCACCTTCGAGTGGGAGCGGAGGCACTGAGTCCCTACTGCCTCCAACCCCTGAGTCATAGTAAGGTCTCAGTAAGGTGTATGGGGAAGAAGGGAGAGTGAGGTCATAAATCTTTGCAGGATTGAAAACAGTCACAGTATCGTATTACAACTAGATTATAGAAAAACCTGAGAAACAAAGAAAAACAAACTCAAAAAAGATTTTAGTGTGTTTGAGGCTAATTTTTTTTTTAAATCTGATTTCTATCAACAATAATAACAACAACAAAAAGGCCACTTTAAACAGGAACTTCCTCCACTTCTACGTAATCTAAACCCTTTGATATTAAGAAAATAACTGCTCTGCAACTACCCCGGAGAAGAACTCTGCAGATCCTCAAAGTCTGGAGAGCCACCATTGTCATCTGACTTTAAAGACACTGTACTTATAGTTCACATTTCTGATTTTACATGTTTATAAAGACAGATCTCATCCTATCCTATATACACGACTGAATTAATTGGGGTGATTCAAAGGCTGATTTCTGCTACTATTTAGTTGGTAGTTCTAATAAATTGTTTACCAATTTTGACAGAATTTCCTGTTTTGCTGAAATATCTTCTTTTGTCCTCAGGCCAATCTTGCCTTTCCTCTAAGTGCTGCGTTATATTCAAGTAGGCTTCATCCAGACTCACGGCCATAAAGTTGGGATCATATTCAGCAAGAATCTCCTTCACCTTCAAAAAGAACAACCACAACAAAAGTTTAAATTCTGCTGCCACAGCAAAGCTTCCTGTCTTATATATCTGATAAAAAGCACTAATATTCTTACTTTGCATCTAGAGTAATGATCCTGCAATCAATAGCTCACGGATTTAAGGAATAAATAATTTACTACCAGTGGATATTTGTCAAATTCTCTTTTGCACTAAAATAGATCATGAAGGCAAAAGTCTGTGAAATAGCCTCATCTGATGCTACCTGAATCTAGCATCCTACATCTAGAAACACAAAGCAAGTTAAATAAATCTCGCACAATATTCCAGTAGGAACAAAGAGAAAGTGACTAAGGTTTAACACGGCCAATCAAAAGTATTCCCTCTCATCTCTTTTCTGAAGATTTTTTGTTTATTTAAAAGAAGACTGTAAAGATTCTTCTAAAGAATGTTTTAGAGAGCAGTACATTTCAGTTAATCATATGAACAGTAATCACACAAAATAAAGCTCTACTATTTATAGGAATCTGGACTGGAAAAGATGATAAATCTATAGAAAAACAGCATGCTTGCACTAAACGAAAGATGAAAATTTGGAGTTTCTTTGTGACATGCAGGAAATACACAAAGATTAGAATTACAGCTAATATAGTTCAGCAAAGCCTTTTATATGGGGTAACTTGATTACATAAGATCATGAAGGAGTCTCTTTGCTGTTTGTCTTTTAACTACACAAGAATTAGCTGAAGTAAAAGGGAAGGATTGCCAAAATTACCTAGTTAATAGAAAATATCTTTGCTGAATCGTTAGTCTTCATCTAACATATAAAAGCTGTGATTCGCTTCATTAGAGAACTTTCTGTTTTATAAAAAAGTAACTGTTCTATCTTAACGTAGTCACGAACAACTGAGGGGAATTTTAGAAAATGATGATGTAAAACTTGCCATACTTTTATTCAGAGTGCTTTAAATAGCTTTGTTCTTGCAGAAGAAGCCGTTCTGTAACAGGTGGGAATGGTATCTTTCTGGGGAAAAGGACACTGGCAAGTCTGTGCCTGGCAGTCCTCTAAGACTCTGAATGAGCCGTGCTCCCTGGAGGCACAGCCTCGTGCTGCTCTCTTTCTCTCCATCGGACACCACCACAGAACAAAACAGACTGCTCCCATAAACACCAAGCACTTGATAAGAACAGCAAGGTTACCCTAACATTCGGACAAAACTGATGCTCCTTAAATTTATTAGCCAGGCCAGAAACATTAATGCATCAACACTGCATTTACATGCAAAACTCATTTGCTATATTAATTAGCAAGATGTTGCTCAAATTTGAAGATTTTTCCAGCTTACATAAATAAGCAGATGATAGAGAACTAAAAATCATTTAGTTCTCATGTCATATTGTGGGAAGTTTTACTAAGCTAGAGTATGATTCAAGGTCTTTCTTACAAAGTCTTCGTAAGATTTTTTTTTTCAATTACCAAACCTTGTACTCATGCTGTTATTTATTTATTTTTAAATATTTATTTATTTATTATGTATACAATATTCTCTGTGTGTGTGTGTGTGTGTGTGTGTGTGTGTGTATGCTGTAGGCCAGAAGAGGGCACCAGACCTCATTACAGATGGTTGTGAGCCACCATGTGGTTGCCGAGAATTGAACTCAGGATCTTTGGAAGAGCAGGCAATGTTCTTAACCACTGAGCCATCTCTCCAGCCCCTGCTGTTATTTATTTTTTAACTGTGTTTACAGAAAAAAAATTATTGAAAATATATTCTCTTTGCCTACCACTTTTTCAAAAATAGGAACAAAACAATTGATTTAAGAGACTGCTTTTGAATGAATAAACCTGTTTTAGTATGGTGGCAATATTTCTAGAGAAAGTGAGGTAGAATTAAAATAAGGGAATTTAAAGCTCACTTGCATGTCTAAGTGATTGTAAGCACTGTATCAGAACTAGAGAGTTGGCTCAGCAATTAAGAGCACACACGCTAGCACCCATGTCAGACGTCTCACAGTTACCTCTGAGTCTGACTCAGGAAATCTACTGTCTCCACAGGCATCTACACAAATGTGCCTACCACACACAGGCATAAACACATACATACAATTAAAAATCATCAAAAACAATCTTGAAAAAATAAAAGAGTGGTACACCATAGTTTCAGTATTTAGATAGCTGCCTTCTTCTCCTCTTTCTTTTCTGATAGACGCTCATATACCTTAGGCTGACCTCAAAATACTGAGTGGTTGACGTTGGCCTTGAACTCCTCAACCTCCTGTCTCCACAGTGCAAGAACTACAAGTCATGCTCAGACAGTGCTCTATGATACACTTCACTGTATAACAGCAGTCCAAGAGTGATGTACATGCAGCACTCTAGATCTTAACCAAGGAATTAAGTCTCCACACTGTACCACAGATCAATTTTAGTGAAAATCAAAGGAATGATACTTTTTTATAGGGATAGTAGGGATAGTTCAGGATTTTAAATTATGTAAACAAATCACTATATTTTATTCTTTTTGAAGCAAGAGAGTATCCCTCATTTTTTAAGTCTCATAGGCAAAACATGGATCAAGTAACTGTAGGATTATGAGACAATCTAATCACGCGAAGTGAATTTTACTTCTGTTTAAAGTAGAGACAGGCTTGGTAACCCAGGTCAGCCTGAGCTACACAGTGAGTTCCAAGACAGTCAGAGTCAAAACAAGCAACAACAACAAAATGATTATGTAAATTTAATTTAGAATAGAATGAAATTAGTGAGTAGCTTCTATAAATTAGGAATATTAGGTTACTCTAGAAAAATTATTTAAAATTAACGTTATGCTTTAATTATTAAGGCTTTACAAAGTTTTGAGAAATGGTAGAGAATTGAGAGATTGAGAGTAGACGAAAAATACATGGAAGGCAAAGCGTCAGGAAACAGAATGATATGTCTGGATACACTATAAACAGCTCACCCTTTACTGTGGCTAAGACCACATCTTGACAGTCTAAGGCATCTGGAGTCGAGAGTAGGTGACAGAAAGCCAGTAAAAGGGTTTGGGGTGGGACAGTCACTTACCTCCTTACTCACAGCTTGGTATTTGTCAAAGTTTGGGGGCACTATAATAAGTTGTGGGCAAAGTCTCTTAGCAATAAACCCTGGCAAGGCTGCACGAACACCAAACCTCCTTGCATGGTAATTTGAAGTAGCCTGAAAGAAAATGGACCGCACAGGGAAAAATAAACAACCCTAAATGGACATATTGATCAGTACATTCATAAGAAACACATTACTGGCGTGCATCTTCAATTCAAGGGCATTTCTTTAAAAGCACTGTCTTGGACCACATCTTGACTTTCTTAAAAAACCATGACCCCGTCTCATTGTTATTTCTAAATTTAAAACATGGTACCAAGTAATAAGTAGGACTGAACTAATAATTTTTTTTTTAAGTAGGTGTGGTGGTGAATATCTAGGCATCAGGAGACTAAGGCAGGAGAACTACTAGTTTGAGGTTCAAGGTTAGCCTATTCTGCATGACAAATATTGGCTTTAAATAATTAAAAAAATATTTCCAGTAATTAAACTTCAGTGGTTTTAAGGTATGCTATAATATCATATACATCTAAGTCTGGATGACAGTAGCTGTGCTATGAAACTAATAGTAAATAATATAGAATAGTTTTATGATGTGTGAGTTCCTCAGATTTTGAGTTTGTAGTACACTGTAAATAGTAGCATCTATATTTCTTTCTTTTCTTTCTTTCTTTCTTTCTTTCTACCTATCTACATCTGTCTACCCCCCCCTCTTTCTCTCTCTCTCTCTTTCTCTCTCTCTTTCCCTACTTACCTAATATTTAGTTTGTTTGTTAGATTGTTTCTCAAGATAGGATTGGTTTTTCTGTGTAGCACTGGCTGTCCTGAACATGCCCTGTAGACTAGGCTGGCCTGAAACTCAGAGATTGGCTTGTCTCTGCCTCCTGAGCGCTGGGATTAAAGGCTGTTTCATCACTGCCTAGTTCAGCGGCAATATTTTTACTTTACTCTTTTTCTTAAAAAAGTTATTCTTACTGCATGTGCACTGGTGATTTTGCCTACATGTATACTTGTGTGTAGGTGTCAGATCCCCTGGAACAGGACTTACAGTTGTGAGCTACCATGTGGAGCTGGGAATTGAACCTTGGTACCCTGGAAGAGCAGCCAGTGCTCTTAATCACTGAGCCATCCCTTCTGTCCCCTACACTTACACTTATTTTGTTGCCTGTTTTTTGTTTTTCGAGACAGGGTTTCTCAGTGTAGCCCTGGCTGTCCTGGAACTAGCTCTCTAGCTCTTGTACACCAGGTTGGTCTTGAACTCACAGAGATCTGCCTCTCTCTGCCTCCTGAGTACTGGATTAAAGGTGTGCACCACCACCGCCAGGCCTACATTTAACTCTTATCAGAAGGTAGAGTCTAGTTCCTCAGGCCAAGTGACATTGCCTATGACTTACTTAAACTAAAAGAATTAAAGGAAATTATGCTGTGTGAGTCCTGAAGCTTTAGTCTTAAGAACCTGCAGCTTACGCTCTTGATTTTTATGGTTCTGCAGCCACTAAGCATTTAGAGCATCCTGAAAGGTATATTACAATACTACATGACAAGGAAATGAGGACACTAGAGGTATAAGCCACTTTAATCACCACAGTAGAAGTGAATCCACCTTGAATTTCCCCGGTTAGATAATGCTAACTAATCCCAGAAAACACAGCTAACTCGCCCTTACTGAAACCTGCATAAAGTAAAGATTACAAGGAAAAAACATAGTTTTCTGCAGGAACAGAAGAGGTCGCTTATGCAGCAATGAATGCTGCCATGGAGTCTAAGCCCTGATTCTCAGTGCCAACTTAGAAAATTTCAAACATTCATCAAATTCACCAAAAAAATTCTATGTGTAACAGACTGAAAGAGTCAAACATGTAGTGTCACTCCTATTACCCTGCAGGTAAACTTTCTGTGTGTTTACTAAAACAAAAAATAATTAGCTTTAACTCTCTCCAGAAGGGTCCATTAGCTTAGCACATAGAAAAGGACCTAAATCTTTGTTTAATATGAAAAGAATAAGCTTAAATTTGAAGTTTCAATTTTTAGGTTAGAAATTGTTGGAAAGAAAGAATTTGTGAATTCCAAAACCAGTGAGTTTAGTTCAAACATGGCCACAGAATCTGTGTGTAAGAAAGCACATACGCACATACAATTATTTTCTTTCCATTTCATGATAGATTAGAGATTCATAATAACGTAATGGTAGGACAGAGCTTTTAGTTACCTCAGGCACTGGAAAGTCAGCAACAGGGAAGAACTCTCCTTGTTTCTCTTGTGTATTCTGTAATACGAATGCCTCTCTATCCTAGCTGCTACTTTTAAATAAGATGTGGTGCCTTTGGGTGGCATGGCTGTAAACGGGCTGCTACTTTTAATTATGTGTTCAGTCACAGGCATGGCTCCCGTTACTTTACCTTGATTTAGGTCAGAAAAAAAAATCAACTTAGCAATCATAAAAACAAAGGATTCTGAGTTATGGGGAAATTAATTGCATTCTAGACATATTAGTAAGCTACATTATTCAAGAATAGGGATAGAGCACGAGCCAGGAACTCAGGACCGCGAGGGGTGCACCCACACACTGAGACAATGGGGATGTTCTATCGGGAACTCACCAAGGCCAGCTGGCCCGGGTTTGAAAAAGCCTGGCATAAAACTGGACATAGCAGTCAACGAGGACTACTGAGAACTCAAGAACAATGGCACTGGGTTTTTGACCCTACTGCACGTACTGGCTTTGTGGGAGCCTAGGCAGTTTGGATGCTCACTTTACTAGACCTGGATGGAGGTGGGTGGTCCTTGGAATTCCCACAAGGCAGGGAACCCTGATTGCTCTTTGGGCTGACGAGAGAGGGGGACTGGATTGGGGGAGGGGGAGGGAAATGGGAGGCGGTGGCGGGGAGGAGGCAGAAATCTTCAATAAAAAAAAAATAGGGGTTGGCATATCCTCTCATAAAAGTTCAGAAAATACATAATCTCTTCAGGTTTGGCAGATGTGTTTTCTTAGCAACTATGCAACTCTATCCAATTGTGTTCTTTTAGTGTGACAATAATAAATAAGTGGTCATAACTTCTTTCCTCCAATAAAGTTTCTTTAAAAAAACGATGACAGGCTAGACTTGGTCCACAAAACCTCTGGCTAAACATAACATTTCTTTTTCTTTTTTAAAAGATTTTTATTTATTTATTATGTATACAGTATTCTGTCTGAAGGTATGCCTTCAGGCCAGAAGAGGGCACCAGATCTCATTGCAGATGGTTGTGAGCCACCAAGTGGTTGCTGGGAATTGAACTCAGGACCTCTGGAAGAGCAGGCAGTGCTCTTAACCACTGAGCCATCTCTCCAGCCCTCCTTTGCTTTTTCTTTTCAACTCTCACGAGAACCCTTTTGAAGAAGTAAGTTTGCAAAAGAGGATACAAAAGCTATTGTGCTATTTTCCTGAGTTCGCATCTTTGGGCAATTTATTAATTATTTCTGTTTTCCTTTTTCTCGAGTGGAAACAGAAATGAGTAGGATCATTTACATTGAAAGGTTTCAGTAACTGAGCATGTGTAAACCACCTGGAAAAGTAGCAAAGTCCTCAGCAAACTGAATTGAATAAGCTTATGAAATTTCCTTTTTGTTTTTGAACTTCACCTACTTACCAACATACTCATTGATCCTACAGCAATGGGTTTATCCTTCAGTTCCGGATTGTCTCTCATTTCCACAGCTGCATAGAAAGCATCCATGTCAACATGAACTATGGTATTGTTCAAATTCCGGTTCCGTTCCAATTCCATTGCAAATCGGTCAACCTTAATTTTAAAAAAGTTAATATACTTTTAGACAATATGATATCAAAACATCATTCATCATAAATTTTAATTCAGAAGGTATCTTTCTGTCTGCCAATCTGCTCATCTATCCACCCATCAATCTACTTACCTATTGGGTATATATTTTCTTGTATTTATGGGTAGACAGTTCATTGCTGTTTATTACGGTTAGTAATTACCCTTATTTTCACACGGAGAGCCTACTACAATTATTTTAAGAATTTGTGTGTGAGTGTGAACGCGCTTACCCACGAACACTGTGTTTGGGCAGGAGTGCCTTGGCTCTCTTCTGCTGCTCTCCCCCTTATATTCTGAAACAGGATTTCTCATTGAACCTAGACTTGCTGTTTGAGCTAGGTTGGCTGGCCAGTGAGCTCCTGGAACTCACCTGTCTCCCTGCAGAGTGCTGGGGACCCAGACTCAGGTCCTCAAGCTTCCACAGCAAATACTCTACCCACTGAGCCCTCTGCCCAGACTGACAGCCTATTTGAAAGTATAATTCCCTAGTAACTCTTCTTTCTGTCCTCCCCGGAATATAGCAAGAACTTACCAAGCATTTAATGAACAAATGAGCTATCCCAGTTGCCTGCATCAAATCATGCTTACTGCTGAACAAATTTGAAGAAACTTATTATAACTCAAAGCTTCTATTTAGGTAAATTAAACAATTCCCATTTGACTCAAAATGTTAATGTCTTCAGATAGAAACAAAGGAAATACACAATAAGAGATTATACCTGTGGTGCATGACATAATGTTGCATAATAATGTGCACACGAACATGCTGAAATACAAAGGAAATGATCCTTCTGTAAAACTACTTTTGCGGTGCTCCCTTGTTAAGGTTTCTACTGCTGTGATAAAACACCATGAGCAAAAGAAACTTGGGGGGAGGAGGGTTTATTTCGCTCACACTTTCAGTGTCATTGACAGCAGTTAGGGCAGGAACCTGGAGCAGGAACCTGGAGGCAGCAGCTGACAAAGGGCATGGAGGAGGGTTGCTTACTGGCCTGCTTCTCATGGCTGCTTTGTTTTTAGAACTCAGGATACCAGCTTACAAGTGGCACCACCCACAATGGGCTAGGGCCTCCCATATCAATCCCTAATTTAAAAAATGCCCTATAGACTTGACTACAGCTTGATCTTATGGAGAGATTTTCTCAATAGACAGTCCCTCTTCCCTGACTCTAGCTTGTGTCGGGTTGACATAAATCTAGAGGGGACAAGAGCTAAAGTCTGAGATTGTTATTCTATACAAATATTCAATTGAAAACTGAAGATGAAGAGTATTTTCATAAACTTTTAATATATATGTCAAATATAACAAGGTAGAATTATAATCTTTAAAAATTTTGGTCACTTTGAAAATAAGTTATTGCACTAAAAGAAAAAAAAGAGAAATAAACATAGATGAAATCAAATAGGCAAAGAAAAAAGGGGTTATATAGCAACCTATTCATACGGATGGCCTCTACTGATGCTATATCTGTGCTTCCCTAGCTTACTCTGCAAAGGGCAGCTACGTGACAGTTTTAATTTTATCAACACATAAGGAAGTTGCCTAGACCATTAAGATAAATCATAAAACAGAAATAAAACAAATACAATCCACATGGAACACGGAACAATGTCTGGTACATGGCACCAGTTCAATGAATGAAATCTACTACTGAAAGGATCAATGGCGGCATAACATAGTAACCCAAAGGGAGGAAAACAGCCCAAAGAAACAAGCTGTCTCCTCAATGAAAGCAACCTGCCTTATGCGGAGAGTCACAAAGATATAATGTGCCTCTTCCACTGCCATGCTGCTCTTCAGTCTGGACCTCACTCCACAGAATACCTGTTCCAAGGTCTTCCTTAGAAGGGACACATTAGCTCTCCTCTAGCAGGGGACTAATGCTGCAATTCCTCTCTTAGAAACAACGCCCCAGGTCACATTTGTCTGTAGCACAGGCTGAAAGTCTGCAGGTCTACTCCTGTGAGTCCCCAGCCTGAGGGGCTCTGCAGAAGCCTCTCTGAGCTCTGCCGCAAGCTTTCAAGAATCAACTCAAACATCCCCATGAAAGTCAGCTGGGTCTTTCTCTTCCGTGCCAGAGAAGTAAACTTCTCTTACTTGTTTTCACCATGGTCCTTATTGATGCGATCATAAACTGTGCGTGCCTTCAGGAAAATGACCTTAGCTGCCTTAAATTTTTTCCCCTCAAGAAAGATAGGAAGGGAGGCAGATAGGAAAATTAAATATATTGATCCCAATATATTAAAGTTAGTTTTTTCTAAAGCAGTATCAGAAAACTCTAGAGGTAAGTGTTTCACTATACTGTCCTGAACAAATTGAACTTTTCATCTTCACTCGGGTTTTATCCTGATTTCAAACTGCTTTTTCTAACACTTCAAATTTGAATAAGGTCATGTGGCCCTCATTGTGGATGACAAACCATGGAGATTAATAAAAACTGAAATCTAATCTATAACAATAACAATATGCCTAAAATATGGATGAAGTAAGAATAAGGGAGTGGCATCTGAAGTATTTTGGGCTAGGATAATCTAGAAAGACATAGATAAATAGAAAGCAAACCAAGTGGGAAAACTCCCCTCACACCCATAAATGAACGCTGTGGCAGCCTCCTCAGCAATCTATTCTCTCTTGGACTAAGGCTAGCGCGCAGCTGCCAGAGGAAACCTCCCAGGGTGACTCACGCATTCCACTTTCCTTTCCTATCTCTGTTAGTCACTCTCCTGGCCGGAGCCCGCTCTGCTGCTCCCAGAGCACAGCACCACTGCTCGGGACCTTTCTTCTGCTTTAGGGCTCTCTCGGGGTTCCACTTATCCCGGTGTCCTTCCGAACGGCTTTCACATCCCGATCTGAGGCCGTGACATCTACCTTCTCCGTCTGTTACTTCTGAGAACTCGCAGGTCACTAGGGTTAAAAATAGGGACTTTCTTTTGAGTCTCAGTGTTGCCGCTCATCAGTTACTTGACACTGGTTAAATTAGTCATTTCGTCCCTTATTTGTAAAACGGAAGGAAACTCACAGCAAAACATCTGAAGGACTGAAGAGATACTCATATAGTGTTCTCAGAGAGGGGCGTGGCAAGGGCTTGGGGGCGGTGCCGCTCACTTTAAGGTAGAAGTGACATTACCGAGTAGATCATGTAATATACTAAGTGTCTCCCACATAAATTCATTTTCAGTCAGAACAATTTTGAGATAGCAATTATAACTCTTATAGATGAGAAAAATGAAAGTTTATAAAGATTAAGTAATTTGCTCCAAGTCTCAGGGCTGGCAAATGGGAGGGCTGGACTTGAAAAGCAGGTTACTCCGAAGTTTGTTTTCTTTCATTATCTTATGACGCCTCTCTATCACAGATATTGGCTTTTGTTTTTTCTGCTGTTGCTGTTTGTTTGTTTTGGAGACCCTCTGTTAGTTCTGGCTGTCCTGGAAATTGCTCTGTAGACCAGGCTGGCCTAGAACTCACAGAAACCCACCTGCCTCTGCCTCCCAAGTGCTGGATCAGAGGCGTTGATACCACCCCTGGCTAACACAGACTTTGAATAGTCTTTTTGTTGTTGTTGTTGTTTGTTTTGGTTTTTCGAGACAGGGTTTCTCTGTAGTTTTGGAGCCTGTCCTGGAACTCCCTTTGTAGACCAGGCTGGTCTCGAACTCACAGAGATCCGCCTGCCTCTGCCTCCCAAGTGCTGGGATTACAGGCGTGCGCCAACACTGCCCGGCTTTTGAATAGTCTTTAACACCAAAAAAGTTCAGACCAACACAAGCTATACAGTTTATATCCATACTGTATATTAACATAATTTCCTTTTAAAACTCTCAATTTCTATTACATTTAGAAAAATGTGTGGAAAGAATGCTTTTTATTTTCTTGACTTAGTATTTTCATACACGCTGCTGAGCTAATCCAAGTTAGTGAAGGCACTTGCTGAAATGGTCAAAACGCACTGATTTGCTATGCGGCTTCCACTTAACACAACATGGATGCTTGTTTATTCGATCCAGGAGCTCATCAGAAGATACTTTATAAGGTGACAATGATAACCCTGTGTCTTAAAGACGTCTGATGAGGGTAGAATACGGTGGGGAAAATCAAAGGGGTTCAAAATGAACAGCCTGGCTTACGCCTGCAGACTGCCTCAGCCTGACCTAAGGAATTTACACTATCCTAGCATATCACTGTAATAAAATGTAGCTTGTGGAAAATATGAGTCTAAAATAGAAACACTTTCCATGAAAAATCTGTTTTCTGAAACCTTCTGGGCTCCTTGGGACTTCCTCAGCCTCCTCCCGTGTACACAGCTTCTTCTAGAGGAAACTCAACAAATGAAACAATTCAGCAATCAACATAAGACACATTTCCTGCCATTCCTGTTCTGGAAGATGCCAGAGAGGCTCCCATCAAACAGCTGTTTAAGACTGAACAAAACCTGAAATTCTACTGTGCAATGAAAGGCATTTTCTATTCCTTCACATTAACAGCAGATTAATCTGAAAAATTAGTGTGAAATCCCCGAAGTCAGTACAATGCACCAGCTATGTTCTTCTGTATTTGTAAAACTTTTATTAAAGATGTTGTAGATTACAGATCAATAAAACTCAACAAGTCTAGAAAGAAAATTGTTTAAGGAAGAAGGTCAATTTAAAGACAGCATTGTTTTGGACAGAACACAATGTTTAAACTTGGAAAATCAAATCCTTCAGAATTTAACTGAAACATATTTTATATTTCTACTCAGTGAAAGAAACTATCAAGAGTCAAAAGAGAAACTAAAAGAAGACATTCGCAAAATCAGGCCAATATGTGGTTGATACCCAAAATATATAAAGGATTCTTCAAATTCAATTTAAAAAAAGCTAATTTGATTTAAAACCAAGCATAAGGCCTGAGCAGATACCTCAACAAAGATGTATACATGGCAAATGAAAAGAGGTTCCCCAGTCTATAGCAATGAGTAACGAGAATAAAATGATATGATTCCATTATCCTCAACATCTCAGGAAGGCCCACACTGAGAATACTGATGGCTCCAAAGATTGCTTAGAAGGAACAGCAACAGGGCCCTTCATCCATTAAGATGAGAAAGCCAAACGGGATGGTCATCTTGGAAGAGAGTCTGACAGTTAAGCGGAGTTGAAAACTTAGTCCACACATAAATTGACGCATAGGTATCTATAGCAGTTTATTCATAGTTGCCAGACTTGGAAGCAAGCACGATGTCCTTCAGTAGGTAAACTGTTCTACATTCAGACAGAGAATAACAGGCAGCACATGAAAGCAAGGAGCTATCAAGCCACGAACAGACTTAAAGTAATCTAAGTGCATATTACTAAGTGACAGAAGTCAGTCTGAAAAGGCTACACACTGTATGATTCCAATTCCATGGCCTTCTGGGAAGGGTGGAACTTGGGACAGAGTGAAAAGATCAGTGCTTGCCAGGGATTAGTAGGGAGGGAAGGATGAATAAACAGATCACAAAGGTTTTTACGGCAAAACTCACACTCTGTGTGATACTGTAATGGTGAATATATACTATCATAAACTTATCTACACCTATAAGCATAAGAAATCAGTACTGCCTTATTGATTTTGCATGATAATACCATGCCATAGTAGGTGTATTAATAGCAACAAACGTAGTCACTTGTGGGAGATAATGCTTGGCTAGAGGTTCGCCTGTGTGAGGGCAGGGGAATCTTTACTCTTTGTTCTGTTTTGCTATAAACCTAAAACAGCTCTAAAAACTAAGTCTTACAAGGAACAATACTGAATTTGACCATATAAGCTTCAAAATATGTGGTCAAACTAAAAAATTAAAAGATATATTGGAAATACAAACAGGACATATAGCAACCCACTGACTGGGAGAAGATCTTCACCAACCCCGCAACTGACAAAGGTCTGATCTCCAAAATATATAAAGAGCTCAAGAAACTAGACCGTAAAAGGCTAATCAACCCAATTATAAAATGGGGCACTGAGCTGAACAGAAATTCTCAACAGAAGAAGTTCAAATGGCCAAAAGACACTTAAGGTCATGTTCAACTTCCTTAGCGATCAGGGAAATGCAAATCAAAACAACTTTAAGATACCATCTCACACCTGTCAGAATGGCTAAAATCAAAAACACCAATGATAGCCTTTACTGGAGAGGTTGTGGAGAAAGGGGTACACTCATCCATTGCTGGTGGGAATGCAAACTTGTGCAACCACTCTGGAAAGCAGTGTGGCGGTTTCTCAGGAAATTCGGGATCAACCTACCCCTGGACCCAGCAATACCACTCTTGGGAATATACCCAAGAGAGGCCTTATCATACAACAAAAGTGTATGCTCAACTATGTTCATAGCAGCATTGTTTGTAATAGCCAGAACCTGGAAACAACCTAGATGCCCTTCAATGGAAGAATGGATGAAGAAAGTATGGAATATATACATATTAGAGTACTACTCAGCAGTAAAAAACAAGGACTTCTTGAATTTTACATACAAATGGATAGAAATAGAAAACACTATCCTGAGTGAGGTAAGCCAGACCCAAAAAGAGGAACATGGGATGTACTCACTCATATTTGGTTTCTAGCCATAAATAAAGGACATTAAGCCTATAATTCGTGATCCTAGAGAAGCTAAATAAGAAGGTGAACCCAAAGAAAAACATATAGGCATCCTCCTGAATATTAACCTTCATCAGGCGATAAAAGGAGACAGAGACAGAGACCCACATTGGAGCACCGGACTGAAATCTCAAGGTCCAAATCAGGAGCAGAAGGAGAGAGAGCACGAGCAAGGAACTCAGGACAGCGAGGGGTGCACCCACACACTGAGACAATGGGGATGTTCTATCGGGAACTCACCAAGGCCAGCTGGCCTGGGTCTGAAAAAGCATGGGATAAAACCGAACTTGCTGAACATAGTGGACAATGAGGACTACTGAGAACTCAAGAACAACGGCAATGGGTTTTTGATCCTACTGCATGTACTGGCTTTAGGGGCACCTAGGCAGTTTGGAAGCTCACCTTACTAGACCTGGATGGAAGTGGGTGGTCCTGGGAACCCTGATTGCTCTTTGGGCTGAGGAGGGAGGGGGACTTGATCGGGGGAGGGGGAGGGAAATGGGAGGCGGTGGCAAGGAGGAGGCAGAAATCTTTAATAAATAAATAAATTTAAAAAAAATTAAAAAAAAACAAACAGGACATATAGTGAGAAAAAAATCCTTAATACATAAGATCTCATAAATGGAGAGAAATAAACTCCAGAACTGCGGAAGGGAACAGCATTAGACTGCTAGCTGAACCTCCAAATATATTTCCACTTCTTTCTGTTAAACAGAAAGGCTGGGCAGATGACCACCCAGTTAGAGAGCATAGTTATGTGTGGCCCTGTAACTAGAGTTGCTGCCAAAAGAATGTGAGTTTAAATACTGTTTGCAACTTCTTTCTTACTTGTTTAACAGTGAATTATTTGCTTTTAATCTACCCAACACTACTTTTTCCTCATCAGGAAATGGAACATGGGATACTTTTGCCAAATCAGTAATTATAATACCAGGAGATGATGAAATAGTATGATTTAAGAAAAATCTATGTCTGAAATTACTATGGTAATCAGAGCCAGGGATGCTGTGGAACTCCAGGCCTGGCCTGGCCAGTATTACTCTGAAGTCAGAACAACTGTGACTTCAGGCGAGAGATCTTCACAAGACCCAGCTTACTGACCTTCCCTCCTAGGAAGAGTGGGGCAAGGGTGACTGGACCTCATCTGAGATTACAATCATTCACTCCTTCCTGTGCATCCGGTTCCCCTCTGCACACACTCCTGTCCCTCTACCTGTGGTCATGAGAGGTGATAGCACATAGGAGGTAGAAGGTCAGCTGCAGGAGGGACTCCATCCATGCAGATCTTAGGAGGTCATCACCCATGCTGGGCTATGATGTTTTAGTGATAAGCTGATTTTGAGTCATCTTCCTATAAGTAGCTCACACATTCTCCCTGTAAGTAAGTCCAATAAACTTACTTGTTCACTAATAAGACTTTTATGGGATTGTTATTTGGTCTGACATCAGTGCCTATCTTGGATAAATATATGTTTGTTCCTATCTCCATAGGAAAAGTATGTAATAAGTGATTACTTTTTATTATAAGAAAGAAACTGTTATTTTGGTTTTCTTATGCCGCCTACTTAACCTGTATCATAACAGACAGAGTAAAAGAACATATTCCCGCAATGAGAGCATGAGTGCTGTGTGAGGGGAGTTTCTTCTCTGACACAATGGAAGGTAAAGTAAACATCCGGGAAATCTGTTGCAGAGATTATATACACAGCAAAACTGAAAAATGTAACAAAATTAAGGAAAAATGTAACAAAATTAGTTTACAGCAAGCATTTGAAGTAACACATATATTGAAAATGTAAAATAATATAATGTTTTATGAAAATAACTATACCAACAATAAAAATCAAATTAAAATAATATTCTGGAAAAGTGTTTATGAAAAAATGATATGGTTCAGTAAAGGAGCTTCATGATCTCTGAACTCCACTGTAAGATAAAGATTTTGCAGCATGTCAGATTGATACTGCAATTTTATTACTATGCTCAGCTCTGAGTAATCTGAAAATTACTTCATCTTCCTGTGTCAATTTCCTTGTCAGTAGAGAGTGCTTCCCTATGTTCAGTGCTTCGTGATAATTGGGTCAGATTTTAACAGAAAATACTCATCTGTCTATAGCTTTAGTCTGACCAGGAGAAACATGTCTGCCCGGAGCTGTCAATCTTCCACGGGTGTCACAAACCTTGGTTCTTTCCAAACTTTTCTACGGAAATAACTTCTAGTAGCTTTGAGAACTTCGAATTATTTATTCCCTCCAAGTTCCGGAGAACACAAAAACCTCTAGGTTTTTAGAAATATTGTTTCCTTCAAAAATTTTATGTTCATTTGGTATTTCACTTGTAATATAACTTTTTATTTTACTAAAACATGGTTACTCTAATTTAAAGAATTAACCCCCCACTCAGATCCACCATGGCAAATAGCCCTATTTGTTTAAGAGCTTTGTCTGGTGCAAAGCACATATATAATACAACAGCATAAGCTATGGGTCAAATCCTAATTGTGCTAACTATATCCTCTGAAGCCAGACAGCGTTGACTCTCTGCAGGGAAAGGTGTAGAGTGAGGCTGAGCAGAGCCGGAGTGCCTGCTGACTACGCACGCCTAGTCACACAAACCCCATCCACCAGCCTCACCCCAGCAACTCAATAAATACCTCTAACTGTGCTTTCCTTAGTTGCTGGTTGGTAATTTGAGCTTTTTGTTGCATCATATTGGCAATCCGTTGATTGACTTGCTTTTCCTTCTTGAGCTCATTTCCATAAAATCTGGACCCCTACAGAGAAAATGAAGCAGAAGGGAACTGTCAGAAGGAAAAAGCCACTGCATTGACTTCGTGGCCAAGAGGGGGACGCTGGAGTCACACTGCCATCTGAAAGCAACTTCACCCCTCTGGGTCAGTTTCCTTATCGGTAAAGAGGGCTTCCCTAGCATGCACGAGGCTCTAGATTCACCACTAACATCATGCGCACGCATGTATGCACACACACACACAACACACACACCTAAATCATATAATTCTTATGAGACAATACTACAAAGAAAAAAAATTGAGTTAAGATTTGGATTCAAAATGAAAACAATAAAAAAATGTCATTTGTGGAGGGCCCATGGGGTACATCCAAGCTCTGCCAACTAGTTCCTCAGTTATCTTCCTCACGGGTCTCCTTCATAACATTAGCAGGAAGTCATTAAAGACACTGAACCATCTGTTATTCCACTACAGAACAGAGTGGCGATCAATTATCAGGACATGGGCATTAAGTTAGTTCTACACGTGGCTCTCATGAAAAATGCTGCTACAGAGACTTATACACAGTTTAGCCTGAACATACACTGCCATTCCTATACATATGCATTTATGAGGGTATTTCTGGATCTATGGTGATGCATGGCTAACCCTTGGAGTAACTGACTGAACCATTACTTGTTACTGCATATGAAGGCTCCAACTTCCCCATATCTCTACCAACACTCTTGATTATATTATTTATTATAGCTATTCTAGCCAATAATAACGTAGATGGCATATTCCTGGGTTTTTTAAGTTGTATTTCCTAAGTGACTAATAATGCTGAGTATCTTTTCATGTTTGAGACGTATGCACATCTTCTTCACTTAAATGCCTACTGTTGTTGGTTTTTTTTTTATTTTTTGGTTCTTTGGTTCTTTGTGGTGGTGGGGACGGGGGGGGGGCGCCACCCAGCTACCAAACAAATACACACAGAGTCTTATTCTTATTTCCCCAGCCTTAGCTTGCCTTGTTTCTAGTCAGCGTTTCGTAACTTAAATTTTCCCATCTATCTTTTGCCTCTGAGCTTTTATCTTTATTTCTGCACACCTTTCTTTACTTCTTACTCTGTAGCTTGCTGTGTAACTGGGTAGCTGACCTTTGGAGTCTTTCTCTTTTGTTTTTTGTTTTTTTTCTCCTCAAACTTCTCTTGCTCCTCACCGATTTCTCCTTCCATTTATTCTCTCTGCCTGCCAGCGCTACCTTTCCTTTTTCCTGCCTTGCTAATGGCCATTCAGCTCTTTATTAGACCAATCAGGTGTTTTAAATAGGCAAAGTAACACAGCTTCACAGAGTTAAACAAATGCAACACATCTCTGAATCATTAAACAAATATTCCACGTCATAAACAAATGCAACATATCTTCAAATAATATTCTATAATAGCCTATTCATATCTTCTGACCATTTGTTGATTGAGTTGTTAGTACTGCACAATTACCTCAACTTGGCGAATCAAAACATTCAGGAACATAGTCTTTTGGTGCAGTTTTGACATGGTAATAAATAAGCTCATAAAATAGAGGAAGCGATAGAAATTGACAAAGTGGCTATGGGGAGTAATTTAGCAACTCACAAAATTATATATATATAATACATATATATATTATATATATATATTGTATTTTGGAGAGCAATTCCACTTCTAGATATCTCTTTTATAGTTGTCACACATAAGATTAGTAAATGCAGCCAGATGGTGGTGGAACACGCCTTTAATCCCAGCACTCAGGAGGCAGAGGTAACTGGATATCTGAGTTAAAGACTAGCCTGGTCTACAAAGTGACTTTCAGGACAGCAAGGACAACACAGAGAAACCCTGTTTGGAAAAATCATTAAAATAAAGATTAGTAAATGTAAGCAGAACTTTAATTCCAGCATAGGCAGGCAGATCTCCGTCAATTCAAGGCCAACATAGTTTACGTAATGAGTACCAGGACAGCCAGGTGCCTCAAAATAAATACATAAACAACATAATAAAATAAAAGATTAGGAATGGCTTATATATAAATCAGTAACAGTTCTGATTAGATCAATAAACTATATCCACATATGCAAGTATAAATCTTCATCCAATTATTAATATTCATTTACAAGAGGTAAAAAGATAAAACATGTGCATTCTTTTGCTTTTATATACATAAAATTTTATTGAATTTTATTTTAATTTATAACTTTTATATAAATTCAAAGTAGAAAGCTTCGTAACAAGCAAAACAGATTTGAAAAGCATTTATATATTTCATAGCTTAATGGTATATTAAAACATTTTAATTAATAAAAATGATAGTAAACCAAAAACTAGTAATTTTCTTTTAATACTAACTAAATCATAGATACTGGGTGCTGGGGATCAATTAGAGGTTAAGAGCACTGGCTCAGAGGTTCTGAGTTCAATTTCCAGAACCCACATGGTGGCTCACAACCACTTATAACTATAGTCCCATGGAATCCAAAGCTCTCTCCTGGTTTGCAAATGTACAAGCAGACAACAGACCCATATACATAAAGTACATAAATAAATAAATCTTTAAAAAAATAAATCACAGATACTGAAAGAAGCAAGAACATACCTTTGTGGCATCCATTATAATTTTGTTAATTTTCTCTTTATCCAGTCCTTCCATCCCTGCTTTATTATCATTTAGTCCCATCCTAAGCAGAAGATCATCTTTGTAATTATTCTTTTCCTTTGTGTTATCCATGATGTAAACAAGGCGACTTCTTCTGTATTAGCTGCAAAGGCATAGAACATAAGCAGTGTTTTTAAGTGACCACAGAAGGGCTAGAAATAACTGTTAGTAGAGTGCTTGCAGAGCATAGGCTTGATCCTCCCAGCGCCGCACCACTGGGGAGGCAGGGAAGAAGGCGCAGAAGTTCAAGGGCATCTCCAACTATACAATGAATTTGAGGCTGGTTTGGGTTATATGCAACCTTGTCTGAAAAAAACAAACAAACAAACAAAAACATTTCTTGGATCTTGAAAAACTGCTACTCAGCTGGGCAGTGGTGGCACACATCTTTAATCCCAGTACTCAGGAGGCAGAGGCAGGTGGATCTCTGATTTTGAGGCCAGCCTGTTCTACGGAGCAAGTTCCAGAACACCCAGGGCTACACAGAGAATTTCGGTCTTGAAAAACCGAAAACCGAAAACCAAAACCAAACCAAACCAACCAACCAAACAAACAAACAAAAAACCCCAAAAATAATAAGAAAAAAAGAAATAAAAGAAAAAGAAAAATTACTACTCAAATTTTTGTCAATATTGTCCTAAGCTTACTATCTTTCTGGAGACAAAAGGAATGAACTTTTCCTGCATATTTCATACCAGCCATGTTTGCCGCCCTACATACACATGCTAAATACCCATAAAAGACGGATGTTACTATTCTAAATATAAAAAGAGAAGCCTGAGTCTCAGGACACATCTGCGAACTTAAATTTGTAAGACAATAGCTACACATTTGTTAAAAACATATCCAAGTCCAAACCTTATGGGTATTTTTTTTCCTATTGAATTTTTTTCATATCCTCTCCACTCACTCAAATCTACACTCTTTCATTCTTTCTTTAAAAAACAAACAAGCAAACAAAAAATAAACCACAAACAAAAAACTAGAAACACATACATGCACACACACACCCATACAAATGGAAACCAAAATATACGAGAGAAAGACCAATAAGACAAAAAAATACCAACCACAGCAATTTAAGACAGAAAATCTATAAAAATCCTATTGAGTTCATTTTGGGTTGCATACCTCCCACTGGGTATGGAGCCTGCCCTAAAGTATAGTTAATAGACACAGTGAGGCTTCATTGGAGAAAAATAAATTTTCAGTTGCAAGCAGATTTCAAATACAGATAGCTTCTTGGCTAGGGTTGGGAGTTCATGTTCACTTCCCCTTCTCAGCAGTGGGATGCCTCTGCCTTGGACCTGTGCTAGCACTGTGCTTGCTGCCACAGCTCTGTGAATTACATGTGAATCTGTCCTGTTTGGAGGGTACTGTTTGCTTTAAGTCACCCATCCTCTCTAGCTCTTACAGTCTTTCTGCTTCTGCCTCCACATAGTTCCCTAAGCCCTGAGGGGATGGTCTGTTGAAGACATCATATAGGAAAGAGTATTCCAAAATCTCTCACTCTCTGCATTTGTACAGCTATAATTCTAGGTGTTTAGGTGTAAGTTCCTACACACTGAGATGTTTGGGAATTTCCTTGGTGCCACTTTGGCCAAAGACTCAAATAGATATAACACATTCCTGGCACTGGAGATTTTACCTGGTGTCATAAGATATCTAGTTGGGGCATTGTCTCTCCATTATTTGACAATTCCATTTATATTTCTTTCATATATGTATATATTTAAAGAAGCTTCTATAGTGGTAGATTTCCAAATAGCCCTTCAAAAGGCTCAAGTGTTAGCTATCTCTCCCCACATTCTCCCCCTCACCCCTCTCTTCTTTCCTCTCCCCATTTAGTCCTCCCACTCCAGTCTCACCACTGTCTCTTCAAAACAATATCCCCTACATGCCCTTCCTTGGGAGACCCTCACTAGGTGCCTAATCTCTGTGGCTATATAAACTATAGAACACAGATGAAAGCTTAAAAGCTAACAACCACATATAAGAGAAAATATACAATATTATCTCTTTGGGTCTGGGTTACCTCACTCAGAATGATGTTTTTCTAGTTTCATCCATTTATATGCAAATTTAATAACTTTTTAAACAGCTGAATGATAGTCAATCATATAAATGTACTACATTTCGTTACCCATTTATCAGTTGATGGACAGCTAAGTTATTGTAAATTTTGGGTTTTTATGACTAGAGCAGCAATGAACAAGTATCTCTGTAGTAGGATGCAGAGGTCCTTTGGGTATCTGCCCAAGAGTAGTATAGCTGGCTCTTGAAGTAGAACTATCCCCATCTTCCTGAGGAACCACCACACTGATTTCCATAGTGGCTGTACAGGTTTGCACTCCCACCGGCAATGAATAAGGGTTCTCCTTTCCCCACACCCTCACTAGCATAAGCTGTCATTTGTTTTATCGATCTTGGCCACTGTAACTGGTGCAAGATGAAATCTCAAATTAGTTTTGATTTGCATTTCTCTGATGACTTAGGATGTTGAACATTTCTTTAAGTGTTTCTCAACCATTTGTTTTCATCTTTTGAGACCTATGTTTAGTTCTGTACCCACTTTTAAAAAATTGTGATATATATGCACATATATAAATGTATATATATATATATATATACATTCATACATACACACACACTGAGATATATAATTGCCTAATTGATGGTGTCCTTGGTCATACAAAAGCTTCTAAGTTTTATGATGTCCCATTTATTGTTGGTATTAGTGCCTGTTAAGAAAGTGTTTTCCTTTGCCAATGAGTTCAACACTATTCCCCACCTCTCACATGAGAATTAGGGCCTTATGCCAAGGTTCTTAATCCATTTGGAGTTGTTTTGTTCAGGGTGACAAATGCGGATCTATTTGCATTCTTCTGCATGCAGCCTTCTACTGTGACCAGCACCGTTTGCTGGCTGTCTTTTTTTTCTAGTGTGCATTCCTGGCTTGTTTTTATAAAAAAAATCAAGCAGGTATTCATAAGTGTGTGTGGACTTAGTCTGGGTCTTTAATTCAATTCCATTGATCAAAATGTCTGTATTTGTGCCAATGCCATGATGTTTTTATTACTATAGCTCTGTATTGCTATTTGAGATTGGGAATATGATTATTTCCAGAAGTTCTTTTATTAATCTCTTTTTAATTATTTTATTATTTTAGCTATCCTGTATTTTTCTGAGCTTCTATATGAAACTGAAAATTGCTCTTTCAGTTTCTGTGAAGAAACCAGAATTTTGATGGGGACTGTGTTAAATCTGCAGATTGCCTTGGGTAGGATGGCCATTGTCACTATATTAATACTACCCCAAGAGCATGAGAAATCTTCTTCTATTTCCTCAATGTCTTTTTTTGTTTATTTGTTTGTTTGTTTGTTTTTGTTTTTCGAGACAGGGTTTCTCTGTGGTTTTGGGGCCTGTCCTGGAACTAGCTCTTGTAGACCAGGCTGGTCTCGAACTCACAGAGATCCGCTTGCCTCTGCCTCCCGAGTGCTGGGATTAAAGGCATGCGCCACCACCGCCCGGTCCTCAATGTCTTAAAGTTTTTATTATCCATGGCTTGCTTGGTTAGTTACCCCAGGGTATTTTTTTGAGGCTATTGTGAAAGGTATTCTTTCCCTATTTTCTCAGTTTGACAGTTGTATATAAGAAAGCTACTGATTTTTGTGAGTTTATCAGCATGGAAGGTTCTTAATGGAGTTTTTAGGGCATCATCTGCAAATAAAACACTGACTTCTTTGTCTATTTGTATCCCCTTGACCTCCTTCAGTTGTCTTATTGCTCTAGCTAAAATGTCAAATACTATACTGACTAGGTATGCAAAGAGTGGACAGTCTTGTCATGTTCCTGATTTCAGTGCAGATGCTTCTGCTTAGGTTGGTGTTGGCTGTGGAATTGCTGTAAATTGCCTTTATTATGTTGAGGCCTGTCCCTTGAATCCCTAGTTTCTCCAGGCCTTTTTATCATAAAGCGATGATGGATTTTTGTCAAAAATCCATCTTTCTGCATCTAATGAAATGATGATGTGGTTTTTGTTTTTTACCCTATGTGGTGCATTACAATGATTGATTTATATGTCTTGAACTATCCCTGCCTCTCTGGGATTGAAGCCACGTTGATCACAGCAGATAATTTCTGATGTATTTTTGGATTTGGTTTGTAAGTATTTTGTTGATAATTTTTAGACCTGTGTTCATAAGGGATATTGGTTTGTAATTCTCTTTCTTTGTTGGGTCTTTGTATAGCTTAGGTTTTGGGATAAGTGTCGCCTCATATTCCTTCCATTTGTATTTTGTGGAATAATTTGAGGAATATTGGTGCTAATTCTTCTTTGAAAGTCTGGTAGAATTCTGCACAGAATCCTTCTGACCCTGAGCTTTTTGGGTCAGAAGACTTTTAATTACTGCTTCTCTTTCACCAGGGGTTATGGGTCTGTTTAAATTGTTTATCTGATCTTGATTTAATTTTGGTAGGTTATATATATATATATATGTGTGTGTGTGTGTGTGTGTGTGTGTGTGTGTGTGTCAAGAAATTCATCCATTTCTTATAGGCTTCCCAGTTTAGTAGATTACAGATTTTTAAAGTATGTCATTATTTTCTGGATTTCATCAGTGTTTGTTGTCATATCCCCCTTTCTGTCTCTAATTATATTAATTTGAATCTTCTCTTTCCATTTGTTAGTTAATTTGACTAAGGGTTTGTCAATCTTACTGATTCTCAAAGAACCAACTCTTCCTTCCATTGAGACTCTGTATTGTTTTTTTTTTGCTTCCATTTCATTGATTTCATCCTTAGTTTAATTATTTCTTCTCTTGGTTATTTATTTCTTCCTTTTATATCCCCTAGAGCTTTCAGGAGTGCTGTTAAGTTACTAATATTTGATCTGTCCAATTTTTTGATGTAGACACTGAGTGCTATCGACTTGTCTCCCAGAACTGCCTTTATTGTGTCCCATAGGACAGGGTATTGTGTTTTCGTTTTCATTCAATTCTAAAAAGTTTTTAATTTCGTTCTTGATTTCTGTCTTGACCCATTTTTCATTCAATAGTGAGTTGCCTAGTGTCTGTGAGTTTGCAAGCATTCTGTTGTTGTTGA